TTCCCCCCTTGTTCCATGCCAACATTTGCGGGCTGTAAATTAAAGTGGTGCTTTGTTCCCCCCTTGTTCCATGCCAACATTTGCGGGCTGTAAATTAAAGTGGTGCTTTGTTCCCCCCTTGTTTCATGTAGTTACAGGTTAAATACAATATTTGCGGGCTGTAAATTAAAGTGGTGCTTTGTTCCCCCTTGTTCCACGCTAACATTTGCGGGCTGTAAATTAAAGTGGTGCTTTGTTCCCCCCTTGTTTCATGTAGTTACAGGGTAAATACAAAATTTGCGGGCTGTAAATTAAAGTGGTGCTTTGTTCCCCCCTTGTTTCATGTAGTTACAGGGTAAATACAAGATTTGCGGGCTGTAAATTAAAGTGGTGCTTTGTTCCCCCCTTGTTCCATGCCAACATTTGCGGGCTGTAAATTAAAGTGGTGATTTGTAAATTAAAGTGGGCTATCAAAATAAAGTCCTATCATAAATAATTAAATGTCTAGCTGTCTGCAGAAAAAAAGGTTAGTGAGTGAAGCAACGTCAACCTGTAAGTAAAATCTTCCTCCCTAAACATCTGTGTTGAGACCATATGTTCTGTAACTTCCTTGAGTAACCACTTCTTCTTTCAATTGTGCTGAAGTCTGGAGTTTTTGCAGCGCTCTTTGACGATTCTACACTTGTTTGAGAGTCAATTGCATGGATTTTTGTCCGTAATGAAGTTCATAGTTTTTTTCGTCTACATACCTTTTGTTTACTCAGGTGAGATTCATTTCATATCATCAATTAAAGCTTACATTCTCTAGCCATAGAAGCTGACATGGCATTAAAACGGAAAGAAAGATGTATCTGTCAGCAAAGTCTTTAGCTACTTCCGTGTTGAACGCTGTGTTGCTTTAGTTTTATTAATATATCGAATAAGCTTTTTTTACATGTTTAGTTTTCATGTACATTTTTTGTTTATTTTTAGTAATTTCATTGTGTGATTTGGTCATTTTATTAGCTGTTATATATAATTCACAGAAAATTTTATAGTTTTAGTTATTGATAATATCACTGGTTGAACTGACAAAAAATCTTATGTTTTTTTTATTCTGATGTAAAGTTTTCTGAAAAAGAAATCAACATTTTTTTAAGTCTAGTTTTAGTTTGTTTTTTATCTAGTTCTATATGAATGACTAAAGTCATGAACATAGTCATTCCCAATTTTTTTAAACATAGATCTAGACTTACACGGTTGTAATTCATGAATGCTTTGGAATACAGACCTACTGTAAGGTCGGCCTTTTTAAAGAAGACACTCTATAAGCACTTAAAAATGAAAGTGCCAAAAAGTTCTAGAAGCTTACGTTTACTGTAAAGCAAATGTTTAGAGCTAAATATTTTATACAAAATATGTTTTACAGAATAATAATTGTAATTGTAAAATAGTGGACTCTAAAATTGCTGTAAAATTAAAGCTGTGTCTAACCAAGGTATATTCCAAATTTGAAGTTGATATCACAAAAATGTAACCGTTTTCACAAGATGAATTTTGAGTTTAAAGCTTTCCAGTGATGCCTAATTTATAATGTAACTGCAAAGTATTGATTTGAAATTAAAAGAAAAAAAAGCTGAATGGCAAGAAGTAATTTTAATGTGGTTTTTAACCGTGTTTGAGAGCTTTATGTCTTTGTTTGTTTAGAATCACACACCTTCATAACTACATACACTGGAATAAATGGACATACGATTGAAGGCATCCCAGAGTTTTCTGCCGTAACTACTCTGGATGGACGACAGATTGATTATTATGACAGTGAGATAAAGAAGCTGATTCCCAGACAGGACTGGATGAAGGAGTTTGCATCTACAGACACGTGGAAAGAAGACACTGAGATCAGACAACAAGTACAGCAGATCTACAAAAACAATATTCATGTTCTAACAGAGCGATTCAATCAGTCACATGGTGAGTTACAATACTTTATACTACAGTTTCAAATTTCAAAGATTACCTTATATACATTAAAAAAGGAGCAGATCTTATGGTATCTCCTTTTCTTCTTCAGGTGTTCATACGTATCAGAGGATGTATGGATGTGGTTGGGATGATCAGACTGGAGCTTCAGAAGGGTTTGATCAGTACGGTTATGATGGAGAGGATTATGTCGCACTAGACGTGAAGGAGCTCAGATACATGACACCTGTACCACAGGGATTCATAACAATGGCCAAGTGGAATAATGACAGACCCCAGCTTAAATTTCTACAACAATACTATGGACATGATTGCGTTTACTGGTTAAAACAGTTCTTGCCTTTGAGGAAAGTGGATTTAGAGAGAAGAGGTAGCTTGTCTTTGAGAAATGTACTTTGTTCAACAAGTTGACAAGTGTTTTATTATAATGAATGAGTCGTTTGTGTTTCTCTTTTTTTCTCATGAATTGCTTCATTAAAACAAAATGTAGATGCATTTCTTTAACTGATCTGAAGAAGTAATATTTTCCTCACGCTTATCTAATTTTTATTTTTATTTGTATTTTTTTTTTAGCTCCTAAAGTGTCTCTGTTACAGAAAGATTTCTCGTCTCCAGTGGAGTGTCATGCCACAGGTTTTTACCCATCAGCAGTGACTATCACCTGCTTAAAAAATGGACAGGATCACGATGAGGATGTGGATCTTGGAGAGCTACTACCAAATGTAGATGGGACCTTCCAGAAATCATCTACCCTCAATATTAGACCAGAGGAGTCAAAGACGAACCAGTATGTTTGTGTGGTGGAGCACGAGGGAAGGACCATCCAGAAGATTCTGACTGAGGATGAGATCAAGAGTAACACCAGTAATTTGTTAATAGTTGTTTTTACACCTTTTTAATGCTTTTTATTTGTATTTTCTCTAAGTAGCTGACGTAAGATGTTAGAGGTTAATTACAGCTAAAACTGAAATGACTAAAATGTCTGATGTTATAGAGAGATGATTATATAACATTTAAGGGAGATATAAATGCTGCTGCAAGTGCAACAAACAGAAACAACCAATGAGATGGGAATAACTCAAGAATTAACTTGAGCAAGATTTAAAAATTCACAATCAATTAACCAGTTGCATAAACTTAGCCACTTTGTTAAGACTGTGGCTGTGTCTGAAATTTCCCCATATACCCTACCTAGGGCACAACCATTTAGAAAGGGAACTCACATGTGTTCACCAAGACACCAAAGTCTACAATCAAGAACCAGAGATCTCATTGTGAATTCAAGTATTTTTCATAATATTTTCCGAAGACCAAATCTCTCAGGCAATCATGAAATTATTTTTTTCTAAATGAACAATTACATGTACAGGATCCTGTACGTTTTCATTCACTTTAACTTTCAACAGAAATGTGGTTTGTTCTGTTGGGTGGATAAACACTACGAGTTCATTAATATTACATGAGCAAGAGAGCTTTTTTTTTTTTTTAATTTCAGCATGATTAAAAATGTGACATTGATTTTATGCAACAGTTCAGCAAACAAGAAGTTAATTTCTTCATCATCTTTGTACCAGTTCACAATTAAGTAAACGTCTTCTCTGCATGTGCTGTAAGATGTGCATTTGGGAACGCAACCAGTTTTGCAGTTACGCATTATTTTCATATTAACATAATTTCCAACATTTTTGTGGAAAAGTCCATTTTTTAAAGTCCAGGTACAAATCATAGCAAAAACTTTTTACTCTGCTGGACACTGAAAATGCGTTGAAGCTCTTAATTTTGGGCTGTCAAAGTGGGAAACACTGGGCTCGTATAGCGCTAGTTTATGTTAAATTGTTGTAAGCTTTATTCTAATCACTGAACACATGCAGACACACTTTAACAGAACTCCAGTGTCCTTGTGTAATTCAGCCACTCTTCTGCTATTAGTTTTCATACAGGCTCAGATTTAAAATATCCGTTTAATGACTGAGCTGATGTTTTTATTCCTCAGACTCTGTCCACTGTTGTGGTTCTACTGAAGCTGTGATCCGATTGGTTCTCTCTGCTCTGGTGGGCGTGGCTACTGTCATTCTTCTGGTTTATGACATTAGATCCAGAAGAGCTGATCAAGATCAAGCACAGATTCACACATCAGGTACGTAATTCATGATGTCCTTTCTTGCATATTGTTTTTTCATTTATATTTCTGAGATTTATTAATTTATGCCTTTATTCATTTTTCCAGAAAGTATTGAAATCTAAAGCAGATGCTGCATTTTAAAGGTTCTTCAAGTGTATTTTTTGTACTTCTAGTGTTTTTGTCATAATAAATACTGATGATTATTTGAGCTTGCGCTCTCTCTCTTTCAGTGTCAGGTTTTTAAAAATTCATATTGAAATGCTTTATTGTTTATATTTCTCTCGGATACATAAAACAAATGTATAAAGAGACACACAGATCTCAGATCTCACTTTACTACTGCTGTCCATTTGCCATCTGTATTTGCCTTTATCAATAAAGTTTTATCACTCTGAGGTTCAAGAGTCTCTCCATGATTTTTTTTTAAGTTAAAGGTCCTCGAGGCGGGAAACGAACTCTGGTCGCCGTGAGCGCAGTTGCATTGTATGTCGACGCACTAACCACGACAGTCTCTCCATGTTTTATTACATTTATTATGTCGGGCGTCTCGCTTGTGCTCTCTCTCTTTCAGTGTCAGGTTTTTAAAAATTCAATTTGAAATGCTTTATTGTTTATATTTCTCTCGGATACATAAAACAAATGTATAAAGAGACACACAGATCTCAGATCTCACTTTACTACTGCTGTCCATTTGCCATCTGTATTTGCCTTTATCAATAAAGTTTTATCACTCTGAGGTTCAAGAGTCTCTCCATGATTTTTTTTTAAGTTAAAGGTCCTCGAGGCGGGAATCGAACTCTGGTCGTCGTGAGCGCAGTTGCATTGTATGTCGACGCACTAACCACCACAGTCTCTCCATGTTTTATTACATTTATTATGTCGGGCGTCTCCGGGAGGAAAACTAACTTTGTGTGTTTTAACAATTTCAGCAGTGCGATCCATATAAAACTTTACATTATTAAAACGTTATTTAAAATAAAATAGTAGTTGTAAATGTTTACATTATAATTAAGCCGATTAGTTTTCTGTTTGCTTTTTTTTTATCCACCATAATAAACAAACAACTTCCCATAGTGTCTCTAACCTGACAAAATACTGATCTGTGAGTTGTTGTAATATAGGCTACTGTACTTTGAGAACTCAATGTAATAACGTAAACACAAGATATCGGTGCTCCATTTCCTCCGAAAGGCAAAGTCTTTAAAGGGGTCATATGATGCGATTTCAAGATTCCCTTTCTCTTTGGAGTGTTACAAGTTGATTGTGCATAGATAAGATCCCTGAAGTTGCAAAGACTAAAGTCTCAAAACCAAAGAGATATTCTTTATCAAAGTTAAGACTCTGCCACGCCCCCCTAAACTTTTCTTTAATTTCAGCATGATTAAAAATGTGACATTGATTTTATGCAACAGTTCAGCAAACAAGAAGTTAATTTCTTCATCATCTTTGTACCAGTTCACAATTAAGTAAACGTCTTCTCTGCATGTGCTGTAAGATGTGCATTTGGGAACGCAACCAGTTTTGCAGTTACGCATTATTTTCATATTAACATAATTTCCAACATTTTTGTGGAAAAGTCCATTTTTTAAAGTCCAGGTACAAATCATAGCAAAAACTTTTTACTCTGCTGGACACTGAAAATGCGTTGAAGCTCTTAATTTTGGGCTGTCAAAGTGGGAAACACTGGGCTCGTATAGCGCTAGTTTATGTTAAATTGTTGTAAGCTTTATTCTAATCACTGAACACATGCAGACACACTTTAACAGAACTCCAGTGTCCTTGTGTAATTCAGCCACTCTTCTGCTATTAGTTTTCATACAGGCTCAGATTTAAAATATCCGTTTAATGACTGAGCTGATGTTTTTATTCCTCAGACTCTGTCCACTGTTGTGGTTCTACTGAAGCTGTGATCCGATTGGTTCTCTCTGCTCTGGTGGGCGTGGCTACTGTCATTCTTCTGGTTTATGACATTAGATCCAGAAGAGCTGATCAAGATCAAGCACAGATTCACACATCAGGTACGTAATTCATGATGTCCTTTCTTGCATATTGTTTTTTCATTTATATTTCTGAGATTTATTAATTTATGCCTTTATTCATTTTTCCAGAAAGTATTGAAATCTAAAGCAGATGCTGCATTTTAAAGGTTCTTCAAGTGTATTTTTTGTACTTCTAGTGTTTTTGTCATAATAAATACTGATGATTATTTGAGCTTGTGCTCTCTCTCTTTCAGTGTCAGGTTTTTAAAAATTCAATTTGAAATGCTTTATTGTTTATATTTCTCTCGGATACATAAAACAAATGTATAAAGAGACACACAGATCTCAGATCTCACTTTACTACTGCTGTCCATTTGCCATCTGTATTTGCCTTTATCAATAAAGTTTTATCACTCTGAGGTTCAAGAGTCTCTCCATGATTTTTTTTTAAGTTAAAGGTCCTCGAGGCGGGAAACGAACTCTGGTCGCCGTGAGCGCAGTTGCATTGTATGTCGACGCACTAACCACGACAGTCTCTCCATGTTTTATTACATTTATTATGTCGGGCGTCTCCGGGAGGAAAACTAACTTTGTGTGTTTTAACAATTTCAGCAGTGCGATCCATATAAAACTTTACATTATTAAAACGTTATTTAAAATAAAATAGTAGTTGTAAATGTTTACATTATAATTAAGCCGATTAGTTTTCTGTTTGCTTTTTTTTTATCCACCATAATAAACAAACAACTTCCCATAGTGTCTCTAACCTGACAAAATACTGATCTGTGAGTTGTTGTAATATAGGCTACTGTACTTTGAGAACTCAATGTAATAACGTAAACACAAGATATCGGTGCTCCATTTCCTCCGAAAGGCAAAGTCTTTAAAGGGGTCATATGATGCGATTTCAAGATTCCCTTTCTCTTTGGAGTGTTACAAGTTGATTGTGCATAGATAAGATCCCTGAAGTTGCAAAGACTAAAGTCTCAAAACCAAAGAGATATTCTTTATCAAAGTTAAGACTCTGCCACGCCCCCCTAAACGGCTCGTTCTAACACGCCCCCACATATCTACCTCACTATATGGAAATATTTGCATAATGTGGCCCAAATGTGCACGCAAAGAAAGAAGGCATGGTGTCAGTAACCGCAGTTAGTGTTGAAGCAGCCATGTCAGAGAGACGCTGTGTGTTTCTAGG